AGTTTAATCCCTGGTACCACCAAAAATAAAAATAAAACTTAAAACATACAGCAATCTCCCTGCCTCAGCCTCCCAAGTACAGGAATTACAGGTGTGCAACACTACACCCAGCTCACCTCCGCTTTTTTAACCCTCCTACAGAGCTGCGCCCTAACTTGGCTTCCTCGTCAAGGGTTTTATTTTCACTAGGTTTGTGTGCAGGGTATGCATATTGTGTGCTTAAGGGCAGCATGTCCCAGCATGTAGGAGGCTGAGACTAGAAGCCATCCTGGGCTACACAGTGGAACTCTGTATAAAGAAAAAAAGACACCAGGTCCCAAATTGGTCAATAGATGCCCTCGGGCATTTGTTGCAGAGTCCCAGCCCTCCTGGAGTGCTGGTTCAATAAGTCTGGAGAGGGACTGTCAAGTCTCCATTTCTTAATAAGCTCCCCAGCCAAGTCAGAAGAGGTGGGGCTGGCAGAACATCCTCCCTGGCCTTGCAGGTATAGCCACCATCTCATTGCTCTACCACCAGAAAGGATGGTTTGGGGTAATTGCTTTGCCATTAATCTAGCCCTGACCCATTCTGACCAGAAAGCCTCTCAAACTTTACAAATCCAGGTTTCCCAAAGTATCTTCTGAGGTACCCTAGTTCTGTGAGGTGCTGCTTAGAGAGGTTCGGTGGTGAAATACTTTGGGAACCACCATACTGCGTCTTACTCTGGAAAGTTCCCATTATGCAGCGAGGAGATTCACTGAGTGGTGTGTTGCCCTGATACTTGGATCTCCAATCCCCTTAAAGCCCTGTTTTATAGCCCTCTGCCTCAGGCATAACCTGGAGTGCTGAAACCATCTCCTTGGTTTCTGTTTCTGAGCCCGGTTTGGACTCACACAGTAGCGAGGCCGCAGTTCTTAAGCATGAACTGATGTGAAAACTTAGGTGACAGAGGGTTCTTTTAGTTGAGTGGTCCTGGTCCAGACGCCATCCACGGTTTGCTGATCCAAAGCACAGCATTTGGTCCTTGCAAACCTTCACACCAAGTGTTTACCTCAGACAAGGGCCCAGCTCTTACTCTTCTGGCTGTCACCTCCATGATGGTCCCTTCCAAGTCCCTTGACAAGGGGGCAGCTTGAGGAGAATCAAAAGCAGGTCCTTCCTAGGAGCCTGAGGTGTAGAAAAGGCGAAGCCAGCACTCCAGGGCTAGGCCCAGTCTGGCTCCTCCTACTCCAGGCACCCTGAGCATGTCTTCTCTGGGCACTGCTCCCTCTGAGTAAGGTCCCCAGGGCTACAGCCCCAGGTATTCTGCCAAGAACACGGCTAAGATGCGGCTGAGGTTGTGCACGGTAGGTGGGTGGAGGTTGGCCTCTGTGTCACCAGGCGTGTGCCACACAGAGGGGAAGGGCGTAGCGATGAGGTGTAGCACCGGGACCCCTGTGGGTGAGAGGAGACTGTTAGGCCTGTGTCCCACCACAGAGCCCAGCCAGGCATAGGCTGGGTAGCCTCACCTCCCCCACCCACCCTCAGAACACTCTGTGCCAGCACTTCCTGTCCCTGAACATCAAACCGCACAAACACCACTCTATCCTTCCAGAGAACCCTGTAAGGCAGGTAGTTTCTACCATTACCTTCATTTTACTTTTTGGCATGGACTCACTACATTGACCAAACTAGCCCCAAATTCCTGGACTCAAATCACCCTTACTTTCACTGAATGAATCAAAGGAGGCATAGAGGGTGGCTCAGTGGTAGAGCACCTGTCTGGCACATGCAAGGCCCTGGGTTCTGTCTCCAGCACTGAAGGGGGCCCAGCCCTAGCTCAGTTCTTTAAGTGGCTGCTTCCACAATGCTGGCAGCCTCAGTTTGCTGTAGTTC